TTCTTTCTTTTATTTTATAAGATAACAAAACTTAACTTGCCAAAACATGAGCCACTCTAAACATTGCTTTCTCTCCTCCTTTATTTTATCCCCTTTTTTTCAAATTTTTTTGATCTTTTCCTTTTTATCTCCCTTTTTTATGCTTTTCTTTTACCTTCCTTATGGCAATGTCCAAAAGTAAGGCTGAGCTAGTTAGCCAACTTATTATTATTAGCCAACAACAATTCTCTTCTTTTCCTTCTCCTATTTTACAAGTGCTCTGTTCGGCTTCTGACTGTACCTGCTATCGTGCATCAGCTCCCACTCCTCCCCTTCCTCTTTCCACGTGCAAGTGTTCTCTTGTTCGCGTGCACGCATTCTCTTGTTCTCACGAGTTCGCGTTCATGCACTCGCGCCTGCCCGCTCGATGGAAGGAGGATTCAGCTTGTTGTGCCGCCGAACCCCATACCGCCAACCTGGAATTCTGAAACGCCCACTAGTGGGCGGTAGGGACCAGGTTGACGACCCATGTCTTAGACGCTCAAGACCAATCGTGGGAAGATCATTCCTCTATGAATTTGCTTCTAATATATTGTGATTTAGACCATTAGAAGGAACTAACTGATTCCTTCGAGTGTCCATTTAACGGTAATTTACATTTTACTTTTATAGATCACAGTATCTACTTATATTAAGACCTATCATTCTCTTTAATAGTATTATTATTGTCATATTTTGTTAAGATGGCACGAACTGTGCACCACTAATTACTCTAAGTGCTTTCTTTGATTATGATATACCCATTCACACTCTATTCATTTATAAATGTTTTAAACCCACCTCCTCACACTTTTGATTGGCTATCAGACGGGTGAAGGCGTTCCTGTTCAGCAAACATAGTAACCTCTATGGGGATCACGCCCACCCTCTGACGTACATGTTAGTGATTGGCCCAGGCTAATGAGACCCACATGGGAGATACAAATATAAGGGGAAGCGTGGTCATTATAATTCTTCCCCCTGATGAAGGTGCACATGTCTTGCACCGAAACATGCATCTGGTAGTTCCTCATTTTTAAATGGGCACTTTATTTCACGTTGCCCCTTTGGTGATTCGAGCTTGTCTGCTCGGAAGATGCTTGGATTTTTAAAAATGAACTTTTGTACTATTTTCCTCTATCTATTAAGCTAGTTTCAAAGGGAGAGAGGCTGTACCTACCTTCTGTCTATTTCTAATATTCATGACAAGTGTCTCACTGAAATTTGAACACTTGTTCACTATCTCTATATAACACTAGGGCAGGGGTAGGCAACCTACGGCACTAGTGCCATGCACGGCACTCAAGGTGTATTTGCACGGCACTCCAGGCTGCTAGAGCCAAACAGGCTCTGGCCTATCAGGAGTCCCAGTAAAACTTCAGATATCTGCTAATATGAAGAGGTGGTGAAGGACAATCCTCAATTTAAGCATTGAAGTACATAGAGGAAGTGATCCCAGCACTTGTGAATGGGAATCCACACTGTAGTAGAGCAGCCCGCAGCGGCTGTTGCAGCTCCTGTCCTTGAACCTGTATCTGGCCACACACACTGCAAGATATACACAGAAAAGCAGAATAACCCTCCCCTCATACAAATTATATGAACAGCCCACACACAAACATACACACAATCGCACAAACGTAACCCACTAAAAATCCACATACATGCACACCTCTCACGCAGCCTCTCACATGCAATACCCCAAACAGCCCCCACACACTACCAAACACACAATGTGACATATCCATCCACACACAATTCCACAAGCAACCCTCATACACAGCCCACATTCATGTGTATCATACACAATACCATAAACTACTAATGAACATATACAATATAATAGTTTATACACGCACAAATACAACGATACAAAGCAACTGCAATATAAATAACACAAGCAGAATACGGCAGCATACACACCTCAATTTAAAAAAATAGGACCAGCACGCTACAGGACATCACCATTCTCTATCGGCACAGTGCTGCTAAAAGGTTGCCTACCCCTGCACTAGGGTGTCTCCCACTAGGAATACCTACTAATATAGATATATGTTGAGTACTAATTTATCTGAGAGTTCACTCTGCCTAAATCATCCTACTTCCTTTTTATATATTTGGAGTTCCTTTTTATATATTTGGAGTTCTTATATGCTCCTTGCTATACTCCTTTATAGCAATACCATCCACTTCGGCCACATTCAATAAAGCCGATTAGTGAATGATATTTTAACTTGGTACACCAGGTTTTGAATAAGGCAGTAATTATAGATAGAGGATTAGCCTTATAAGGGTACGTTTTACTACATATATGTTCTTTTGATCAAGTTATGGGCTCATACTCCCCCCACCACCACCCCCCATACAGTATTTGTTACATTAATTTTTAAGGATACTGTTCCAATTCCAGGTGACACGTTCTCTCACCAGTGGTGAGAGTAATGAGTCTTTTTGTTTTGCAAGTTTGGAAAGCCGGCCTCCTTGAAATGCAGAAGGGCTCATCAGCAAAGAATTCAGCAAATAATTACCACAGTAGAATCTCAAAAAGGTGCCAGAGAACACCAACCACAAAACACCCAGTATCAAATTCAAGATCTAATTCAACAGATCCAGAAACTTACCCGGACCATTACAGCTCTTGAGTCTAGACATCCATTTCTGGGGTATACCGGAGCAAATTGGATGGGATGCCTTGGTACCTTTTAACAAGCTACTACTGACCTCAATGGGCATCAAAGGCAGTATCAAACCTGGGATGATACTCTCCACATTCTGAATCCACAAAGCCTATGGAAAGGAGGCAGTTGGCTCCAATTGCCAGGCAGCTGCGGGATTAAGCAATCCAATATTGTTGGGGAGTGGACAGCTCCCTGGTGGTTTTGTTGGGAGACACCTTGTCCTCCGCAGACGACCAAGCAGCATTTCTTCAGAAGTTGAACCTGCCAATCATGGAAGCGGACTAAACAAGCTGGGACTCGGACGTAGCATAAGTCCAGAGATGACCCGATGCAGATAAAGTTCTAATCGTCGTCTACACTAGTCTATACATACTAAAGCTTACCCAGTTAGGCTTTGCATCTTCCTACACAGGCCTTTATAGCTGTATATTTGATGAGCTTTAGAATGTTTACACAGGGAGAGTTGCTTCATCTGCTTTGTTTTTCTTTTCCTCTATTATTTGTTCATCTACAAGTCTCCTCCATTGTGAATACTACAAGGTAATTGTGTTTGCATTTTAGTTTTTAGTTTTGTAAGAACAATATATTCTCTGTCAAATGCATACTAGAAACATAAGTTATGCTTAAAGCCTCAACCAGACAACTGTTGTGAATTGATGTATCTTTTATATCAACCTCATAACATGTAAATGTATTTAGAGTGTTTAAACTCCAATACAATTGAAATTGAAAAAAAAAAATAATTATAAGAAAAATAAAAATAATAAAATAAAAACCTTGGAGTCAACAATCTGGTTTGTCTGAATATGTAACTATGTTTCATGGGTCATATTCGCAAAAGTAAAATAACATTCTGCTTTGTAATCTTACAAAAAAGAAACTGAAATGTTTAATTATTTATGTAATAAAGGAGAAAATGTAATGTTTCCATCTCATTCAAAATATTAATACATTATGAATTTCAAATTTCTAATTTTGACTTTCATTCTTTCAGCGTATTGAAGACACCTTTAAAAATACTTGACGTTGCCAACTGTTCTCTCAACAACATAGATATGGCATATTTGGCTAACAGTCTACATTCTGAGCATTTAGAAGTACTGGATCTGAGTGGCCATAATGTGACAGTACTGTTCCCAACAACATTCTTTAAACTTCTTTCTAAAGCTTCACAGACATTGAAAACTTTGGTGCTTGAAGAATGTGACATTGATGATACCCATGTCCATATGTTGGCTTTGGCTCTGACAAACTGTTTCAAATTACAGGAGTTTAAATTTCTTGGAAATCCAATGACATCTCAGAGTATTAGGCACATTTTTCGCATGCTTGCTGTTCTTCCTTTGTTGAAGTATGTTGAATTCCCAGTACCAAAAGACTGCTATCCTCATGATGTAATTTATCCACTAGATGACAGTAGCCTCACAAAATTTGATCATGAAAAATACAATAGGGTAAAGGAATCTCTTCAAGTTATTTTGATGCAAGCTAACCGAGAGGATATAATAGCTGTAACACCTCTATTTGGGAGTTATGATGCAGCAGTACAAGAGATCAGCAATGAACTTGGTACATGTCTAATCACATCATTCAAAGATACACTGGAAAAAGTCAGAGCATCATTGGAGAAGTTGTAACACATGTCTATTTGCAAGTTTTACTGTTACCCTTGTAATTATAATCTCATATGGGCAGCAATTTATGCATGCTAAATGAACTGTTTAAATAGATGCGCTTCATATCTTAAAGGAGCAGTCCAAGCATCATAGCCAATACAGTTTGCTGTAGTGTTTATGGTGCCATGGGTACCCTGGCACATTCCCAGAGTAAGTAGACAAACCAATCAGCAAGTTGTAATAGTCATAGTGCTTGAAGTCTTCCTATAAGGTATAGATATGCTTCAAAGCAAGGAATTGAAAGCACAGCTGTATCAACAACCAAACAGTCAAAGTGTGGATAGTGATATAAATATATATATTTAGCAAAAGTGCACGCAACCAAATGGTGCTTGAAATATACAAAGTGGGCTTATATTAAAGGACCACTCTAGGCACCCAGACCACTTCAGCTTAATGAAGTGGTCTGGGTGCCAGGTCCAGCTAGGGTTAACCCATTTTTTAATAAACATAGCAGTTTCAGAGAAACTGCTATGTTTATTAATGGGTTAAGCCTTCCTCCAATTCCTCTAGTGGCTGTCTCATTGACAGCCACTAGAGGCGCTTGCGTGCTTCTCACTGTGATTTTCACGGTGAGAGCACGCAAGCGTCCATAGGAAAGCATTGTAAATGCTTTCCTATGCGACGGGCTGAATGCGCGCGCAGCTCTTGCCGCGCGTGCGCATTCAGCCGACAGGGAGGAGAGAAGGAGGATCGGAGGAGGAGAGCTCTCCGCCCAGCGCTGGAAAAAGGTAAGTTTAACCCCTTTTCCCCTTTCCAGAGCCGGGCGGGAGGGGGTCCCTGAGGGTGGGGGCACCCTCAGGGCACTATAGTGCCAGGAAAACGAGTATGTTTTCCTGGCACTATAGTGGTCCTTTAAAGTGCATACAAATATTTAGAGCAGCTGCATCCACTTACAATTACCGACAAAGTGTTCAAAAGCTTTTATAACCATACAAAAGTGTTGCACCTAAAATATGCAAGTTAAAAGAAATTATCAATACTTATGTATACAGTAACAAGATCTGTTGTACAAACAGTTTTCTTAAATATCTGAAAAATAAAGAAATACTTCATAAAGCAGGATATTTGTGTATTATTAAATGCCTTATTAAAATTTCCAAAAGTAATGCACTCGCAATTCTCAGAGCCACATAAAACTGACTCTGGGTATATCAGCTTAATATTCCAATAATATGGTGTATCTTTTCTTCCCATAAACAAAGATCTGCAGCAGTTAAGCACAATAAAAGAACCCAGGATGCCGCAATAGTGTAATAGTGTCAAAACTTTAATTCAATATAAACAATTAAAAACTCTACATTAAATTTATAAGAAAGAGAGCCCTTGAATAGTATTGCTGGCATTAAAGTTAGCTGTCCTCCGCTGTGTTATCAGTGTATGATCCGTAGTGCTCTAATCACGAAGGTGTTCCAGGTCTACCTCGCTTCTTTTGACAAATGGTCCCGGATGTTTTTCCTCTTATTAAGGGTCCTTCTGTTTCTTTTGGTTCTATTTCTAATCCTCTTTTGACTTACTGACATCTTAAATTTAGTTTGTTTATTCGATAAGTGCCACCTAATCAATTCAAAGCAAAACCAACACCCCCAAAAATGTTTTTAAGTCCATGATTTCTATAAAAAAATTAAGTGTAGGTACACTGAAAACACAGATGGATATGTCAGTTAATGAAAACAAGAAAAGGCAGAATTTTTAAATAACAATTTTTCCTCAGTATATAGTAAGTAGAAACCTATGGCAAGACATATGCATATGATTGCTGCAAAAAAACTTGCAGAAAAATTGTGATTGCAGCAAGTAAAGGAAGTTAATGTAAACAGAGCTCCGGAGCCTGATAGTATTCACCCTCTAGTACTTAAGGAGCTAAAGAAAAGTAAAAATAAAAGCGCTATATGAGTTGTTCTTTAATGAGTGAATATTCTAGGTAAGATATTTATAGATGCAGCTGCTCCCTCTACAAATGTTTGACTATCCCAAAAAACACACGCAAAAACATAGGTGACAAACCAAATAAATCTAAGTGGAATGCTTATATATGTGCTGTTATTCGTGATGTTCAAATAGCAACCTTTAAAATATATTTTAAAAAAAACCTATAGGGCAGAACCTTTTGTATTTTTGAAAATGAATATAAAGTGCCTGTATTACCAGACTCACATTTCCCAGAGCTAATAGACTTAGCTCTGGTAAAATTAGCTTTTTGGAGTGTCAGGCAACCAATCCCTTCTTTTAGGATTCCATAAAAGTTGACCAATCTCTCAAACAGAAAAAGAGATATGCAGTGGTGTAATATCGCTTTAAGATATGAATTGTAAGTATGTATACAAAATAATACTCACAACAATTTTGCCTCCTAATTGGCTCTATGTGTAAGTTTTGTATAGTTAAAGACTATACCACCTTTTTTGAACAGCCGAACTGATGGTAGATTGAGTAATCAAGTATATGCTTAATTTTATATTAAAAACATAACATAACAATATTAAAAAAATAAAAAATTCAAATATAACACAAGTCTTTCTAGTGCACACACTGTACAAAAACTAGTTTACATTCAAGCACACAGTATCGGGCGCGGGGGGGTTGTAGCCCAACAAGCAGAATCAGGTCAACTAGGAAAACATATTACCGGTCCTTAGAATGGTCAGACTTAACATAGAAAGAATACTCAGAAACAAGCTGAAGTCAGGGACAGAGATAGGAGCATAAACGAGAAGACAAAGCCAAAGGGTCAGGGATACCAGAAATGCAGACAGTCAGAATAAGCCAAGATCAAAAACCAGGAATCAATAAATCAAATGCGCTCTCGGATAACCAAAGAAGTAGAAATCACCACAGGGCAAGGAAAAAATAAAGAAATTGGCTTTTATAGCCCTTCCCTATCATTCATTGGTGGAAAGGGGTCACCTGACTCCAGAACGTGCATGTGAGTTCTTTGTGTGGCCGCACACTCACGTCTGCGTGACCTCTGACCCTGCTGGAGGCAGGGCTATATATTTCGCTGCTTTTACAGCGGCTGATGCCCACAGCAATGCTGCTCGCTGGGGATGACTTAGGTAAGTCTATTTTATTTTGTAAGTGACCGCACCGAATGTATAATCCCCGCTTATGGGATATATGGTGGTAGTCTTCTGGAGGAGGTGGTGTCCGACACTGAGGAGACAGGTATATGAAAAACAACTGATAGTGCTCTCAGTATATACAGGATGTTTAACCCCTTAAGGACACAACTTCTGAAATAAAAGGGAATAATGACGGACTATTTCCATCATGTGTACTTAAGGGGTTAAAATAAACTTAAGAAAATGTACTTACTAGTATAGTGCAGGCCAACTGCACTATGATATCAACGTTGGTGGTATGATCCCCACCTCGGATAAACTTGTAGTCACACAATAAAATAAGTAAAAGCCAGGTAAAAGCATCAAATTGTGTATTTAAAAAAGATAATTGGCACCAAGTAGTAACCAAAAAAAACTTTAACTTAATAAAATACACATACAATATTACCATTAATCCTACGTAAGACATGGAAAGGTCCAATATATCTAGGTGCAAACTTCATAGTTGGCATTTTGAGATTGATGTTTCTTGTGGAGAGCCATACCCTGTCACCAACCTGAAACGAGAGTGCAGTACCCCGCCTTTTATCAGCATGCAGCTTGAAACGAGAAGCTGCAGCAACCAAGGCGGAATGCACCAGATCCCATGCCCTCTTCATGGTGGCTAAGTGCTCATGCAGGGCAGGAATAGCTGCCCAGAAGGCAAGACAGCAGGATGGAGACTATAAGTCACATAGAATGGACTAAGGCCAGATGAATCATGAGAAGCGTTGTTCATAGCAAATTCAGCCCAAGGTAAGAGGTCATACCAGTCATTCTGGGCATCGTTAATAAACCATCTCAGGTACCCCTCTAGAGACTGGTTAACTCTCTCAGCAGCACCATTAGTTTGTGGATGGTAAGAAGATGAAAAGGACAATTCTATGCCTATTTGCTCACAAAAGGCCCTCGAGAACTTGGAGATGAACTGGGCACCCCTGTCGGAGACAATATTTTGAGGTATAACATGCAACCGAACTATCACTTTGATGAACACAAAAGCTAGATCTTGTGAGGAAGGCAATTTTTTAAGAACAATAAAATGTTCCATTTTGGTAAAACGGTCAACAACCATAAGTATGGTATTATAACCATTAGATACAGGTAACTGAACTATGAAATCCATAGCTATATGAGACCACAGGAAGTGGTACAGGCAGAGGTTGAAATCTAACACAAGCAATTCTCTATTCCCTATGTCATAGTTCCTCTCTGCCTGGAATAACTTCTTAGAAAAGAAGCCACAGAGGTATAGTGGTGTTTCATGACTTTCTCCCTGTGAAAGGATGGCACCAACCACTGTTTCAGAGGCATCAACTTCTAGCAGAAACGGTTTGCTAGGATCAGGATGAGAAAGGATAGGAGGTGATGCGAACAAGGCTTTAAAATGCTCGAACGCATCAACAGCCTCCTTCGGCCATGACTGAATCTCAAAGTTTTTACGTGTCAGATTAGTTATTAAGACTATTACCGTGGAAAATCCCTTAATAAATCGCTGGTAATAATTGGTAAAACCAATAAACCTTTGGATAGCCTTTAAACCATGCGGTAAATGCCATTTTAACACTGCCTCCAGTTTCTTAGGATCCATCTCGAAACCAGAAGCGGATATAGTATAACCAAGAAACTGCACTTCCTTTTGGTCAAAAATACACTTTTCTAATTTGCAGTAAAGACCCTTCTTTAGCAAGGTTTGTAAGACTAGTTTAACCTGAGCATGATAAGTATTTTCATCAGGTGAGTACACTAGTATATCATCCAGATATACCAATACAAATGAATGAATAAAGTCCCTCAGGACATCAACGATGAGATCTTGGAAAACAGCGGGGGCATTACATAACCAAAAAGGCAGTACCAGGCATCCGTAATGCCCATTTCTTGTATTAAAAGCTGTTTTCCATTTGTGATCTTCTTTAATCATAACAAGATTATATGCACTCCTTAAATCTAGTTTAGTAAACAATTTAGCCAATTTTAATCAGTCAGATATAAGTGGTATAGGGTAAGCATTTCTGATGGTTATTTTGTTAAGAGCCCTGTAATCAATACATGGGCGTAGATCATTCTCCTTTTTTGAAACAAAGAAAAACCCTGCTCCCGTTGGAGTTGAGGATTTATGAATGTGTCCTTTAGTCAAGGATTCCTGTACTCCTGAATAATTTTACTTTCCAAGGGAGACAGAGCATAGACTCTTCCTTTAGGAGGCATCGTACCTAGCAGTAAATCTATGGAACAATCATATGATCTATGCGGAGGTAGTGTATCCACATGTACCTTATTAAAGACTTCCTGTACCTCCTTATATTGAGCAGGAACTGAAGTAGAATACGGAGGGGCAGTAGGAACATTGATTATGCCCAATTGTTTGATTATAGGCTTTAAACATTTGTTACTACACTCCTCTTCATCCCACTTTAGTATCTCCCCTCTCCTCCAATCTATACATGATTATGTATGTGTTTGATTAGCCATGGAAAACCAAGCACAATGAGACAAGAAGGGGAGGAGGTAACCTGAAGAGTGATCTGTTCCTTATGCAAGGCCCCTACTTGTAATGAAATGGGTGTGAAGAAAATAGCCTGTTATTCGAGACTTTTATTGCCATTCAAGACTTTTGACATTTTATTGGTTCGGTAGCTGTAACTACCGAACACCGACCACCCCCCTGGCTCATTATCTTCAAAGAAAACTGTCGGTTAAGCGTTCTCCCTGTGTGGCCGCCGTTCGTATAGTGAACGCCACGTGCGAGAGAAAACGGCCTTCTTGTTTGCACGAAAGTCGGGAGCGGGACTTGGTCGTCGAGTGTCTGGAACTAAAATCGGACACTCGACTTCCCGAACACCGGTCAAACCATACGAATGCCTGCTTCCTTTTCCCGAACAGCTAGGAGAGCGCTGTTCAGTAGTTTGGTTCCCACGAACCAGGGGAACAATAGCTCCTATGAGCCAGGGGGCT